ACTCGCAGAAGAGTTCCTGTACCAAAAGTATGGTTTAACTGGGGGAAAACTATAGTTGCCTTATCTTTCTTATTAGAACACTAGCTGTACCCGCCACGCGTTGCTGTGGCCAACCTTCCCTCCCTCTTTCTCTCCTTGCTTTCCTCTTTTTCTTTCCCTTCCTATTTATCTTCTTCTTTCTTCCATCTCTACCTGTTTCTTTTCTCCCTTTGTTTGCTCTTTGGTTACATCCTTCCTTCCCTGTATTTTTCATTTCACTTTTTTATTTCCTTCTCTCCTTTCTTGCTTCTCTACCTTTCTTTCTTTTCTTCCTTCTTCCCCTCCCTCCTTCTCTCCTTCCCTCTTTCCTGCCTTAATTCCTTCCCTCTCTCCCTCCTTCTCTCGTTACTTCTTGACTGTCCCTTCCAACTCTATTCTGTAAGTCTATTTAATTTGTATTATGTAGTAATATATAATAGTAACATATTATATAGTAATCTATATAACAATATATAAAATATTGTATTTATATCTTACATAGAAGGAAAGAAGGAAGGAAAGGAAAGAGAAGGAAGGAGGTGGGTGAAGAAAGGAGGGAGGGAAGGAAATGAAGGAAGGAAGGAAGGAAGGAAAGAAGGGAGGAAGGAAGGAAGGAAGGAAGGAAGGAAGAGGGAAAGGAAGGAGGTGGGTGAAGAAAGGAGGGAGGGAAGGAAAGTAAGGAGAAGGAAATGAAGAAAGGGAAAGAAGGAGGAAAGGAAGAAGGGACAGGAAGGAAGGGAAGGAGGAAAAGAAGGAAAGGAAGGAGAAGGAAGGGAAGGAAGGAGGGAGGGACAGGAAGGAAGGAGGGGGGAAGGAAAGGAAGAGGAAGGAAGAAAACGAAAGAAAGGGAGGAAAGAAGGGAAGGGAGTGAGGGAGAGAAGGAGTGGAGTGTGGCAGAGGCAGCTACCTAATGGTCTGGATGTTAATTGGGGGGAGAGAGAGAGAGTTAAATGTGTGCTCGTGTTGCCAGAGACAGCCGAGAAGATAAGGGAGGGAGGGAAGAAAGAGTTGGTGAAGAAGGGAACAGTCTCTCTCCCCTCTTCCCTCCCTCCTGCCTGCTGCTTCTATCGGGGCACTTGAGGAGCCCATCCACCGTCCTCCTCCTCTTTTTCCTCACTCCCATGGTGCCCACTCTCACTTGTGTGTGTGTGTGTGTGGCCGTGGATGAGCTCCTGGCTTCTAAGGCTTTAAGGGCCAGCTGTTTCCTGTGAGGAGGAGGGGGGCATAGCCCTGGGTCTCTCTGTAGACATGCAGTTTCTCCTTTGTGGACATACAGTTCAGAAGTACTTTCTGCTTTTTGTTTTCGTGGGTTTTTTGAGTGGAGAACATACATTGGGTTGTTAGGTGTATGGTGTCCAAATTTGGTGCCAATTGCCCCAGTGGTTTTTGAGTTCTGTGAATACCACAAACGAACATTACATTTTTATTTATATAGATTGTAGGATTTTGATGTTTGGAATGTTAAAATCCTACAGTGTTCAACCATTATGTACTTTGATAAAGGAGTAATTAAAAATTACATATTATGCTTTGCAAACTAACTAACATATGTCTGATTCATCGTGGTACATGAAGTGGCCACGACTTACATAACGCCAGACATGGAAGGAAGAAATAAGATAAAAAATGATTACCAAATCAACTCCATCAATAATTCAAAAAGTTTGGCCAGATTCCTAAAAAAAACAAAAAACAGGCTAGAAACAGAATACTAAAATTAAAAGATTACAGAGGTCAATTAAAATCAACACATAATGAAATTAGAGAAATTATGGCAATTTTTATGAGAAACTTTACGATGATAAAGATACAATAGAACAAGAAGTATATTTACAGGAAAACATAGACTATCACTCACAAATAGAATTAAATAATACAGTATCAAATCCAGAAATTGAAAATGTAATAAACAGTCTAAAAGTGAACTCAGCTCCCGGACCAGACGGCCTTACCACAAATTTTTACAAAAATTTTTAAGGGGAAATTACTCCGAATTTGGTCATACTCTTCAACGAAATCATGGAAGGAGGTAAAGTTCCAGACTCCTGGAAGTATTCTGAGACAATTGCAATTTCAACACAAAAAAACAAAACAAACAAAAAAACGAGACAGATCCTAATGCATATAGACCTATCTCCCTCAGTAATGTGGACTATAAGATCTTTACAAAAATCTTAGCAAACAGAATAAGGGAAATAAATCCCCAAAATAATCCATGAAGATCAAGGATGCCCACTCTCCCCACTATTATTTGCATTGGCCATTTGAACCTTTAGCAAATTTAATTAGACAGGACCAAACCATCAAAGGATACAAGGCGGGCAAAGAAGAAATAAAAATAAACCTTTCTGCGGATGACGCTTATATCCATTTCTAAGTATAAAGGATTATAATGATATACTCTATATCAACTTATCACTAAATATCAATTCATATTGCGCCACTGCCACCACTATAACGTAAATGAAATATCAGTCCCACCACTGGCACCAATTATAAAATATATACTATAATATATAATATACTATATACCCACAGCTGAATATCACTGTAAAGGATTATATGTCATATCACACCACTGGACACCAGTAAGAAGAAAAATATCCCAACCAGTGACGCGAGGCTGGAGGCTTATTGATAATATGTCTGGGCAGGATGGTTCTTCCCACAAAGATTCACTTTTTCCTCAAAAATCCTACCCCTGTGCCTCCAATTTGGTAGCGAGATGTAGATAGTAGGGCTGGTCAATTCGTTTCGTTAATTCGTTAATTCGTTAAAAAATTCGTTAATTTTTGAATTACAAAGCGATAACAAATCAGTCTGGAACATTTTTTTAAAAAAACGAATTTTTAAAGCTATTTTGTAATTGTTTTGTAATTGTTTCGTTATTATTTCAGCTCCTGGCTGCAAAGGGGCCCGAGCAGGGGCAAGGAGAAGGGAAGGCAGGCGAGAGAGAGAGACTGAGCGAGCAAGCTCCCTTCCCGGCCTGGCTTCCTCCCCTCGCTCCCCTGGCTCCCCCCGCCCCCTTCTTCCCCCTTTTCCCGGCTCACCTGGGCATGTGCACACCCCACACATGCCCGGCCCGGCGCAGGGGTGGTCCGGCGTGCCCGCTCGGCGGGGCCCTGGCATCCGCCGCCCTGGGAAAGAGAAAGACCTCCGCCCAGCAGCAGCGGCAAGGCCGCTGACTCCCCCGATCGCCTCCCCCGCCGGGAAAAGGAAACGCAGGAGGAGGCGCAGCAACAGCAGCGGAGCAACCACCCGATTCTTCTCTCTCCCTCTCTCTAAAGTGGTATGTGTGCCGCCTCTATCTCTCGCTGTGCGCGCGCTGCGTGCGCGAGACGGAGGCGACCGCGCGGGTGGGAGGGAGGGAGAGGGAGGGAGGGATAGAGAGGGGGCGGACTAAATTAGCCCTATGATTTAAGCCCTATGAGATTTAAGCCCTATGAGGAGCAGCTGAAAGAGCTAGGCATGTCTAAACTATTATTAAAAACTAATATTTTCATGTTGCACAACCGCGTCCGCCATCTTAACGAATCAATTCGTTAATATTTACGAAATTTCGTAAATACCGAAACTTTTTTAGGGGAAAGTTTTGTAATTATTTTAAATATCGAAACAAAAAAACACCCCAATTACAAATCGATTTTAGAACCAATTTTTTTCTTGATCGCCCAGGCCTAGTAGATAGATATGTGTAATGGTAGAGTGAACACTGCTTGTCTTTTAGTCTTCTTTGGTTTAAAGCTGCCACCAACTCAAGTTGCCTTAGGATTTTTAAAATGAGTTTTTAAGGCAAACGTTTCCCACTTCTGCCAATACTGCTCTTCCCCTAGCTCCCAGAATGACTGTTTGAATAAGAGACCTTTCTGTAGTATCAGAACATTAAAACTGTTGTAATAATCACAAATGATTAATGATAGATTGAGGAACGATAGAGACCTTTTTGAAAATTAAATAGAAAAAGTTTTATTTATAAAAACAGACAACTATTTCTTCTGAGAGGGACAAAATGCTTGTCTTGTTACAAAAATACTATAGCTTGATGGTTACTAGAATAAGTTTCTTCACTTAGTTACATATAGAGCTAATCAAACAGATCTAGCTGCTAGTAACAAGAATCCCTCACTCTACTTCAGAGAAATAGTAATGAGTTTCTGACTAACCTATCTTAGGTAGACCCCTGAGTTATCAGCTAACTCTTCCCAGAGTTCTTCCTGCTAACTAACTCAGTCTAGAGAGCTAATCTCCTGTGCTATCTTCCCACAAGAAATCAGGTTGCTGCCTGAACTTTTGTGTCAGCTAATCAACCCCTGTCTGACACAGACACTCTCTCCCTGAAAACTCAGTTTCAAAAACACTTCTACTCCCACCAGCTCCCAGTTCTCAACTCCACAGAAGCTGAAATCTTTTCCATCCTAAGACTTGGCTTCTCCCATCTGCTCTAGCCAATCCCAGGAGATCTCAAACTCCTCCCATCTTTCAGCTATCCTCACTCAAGATGGCTGCTTCCCTGGCTTACACTCTCAAAATGGAGGATTGCCATACGGTTATCCAGGCTTCTTTTCCGGCCTACTAGGTAAGATTCACTACACTAAGCCTCCAAGGTCATGTGGCCAGCATGACTGCATGGAGCGCCGTTACCTTCCCGCTGAAGCGGTACCTATTGATCTATTCACATTTGCATGTTTTTGAACTGCTAGGTTGGCAGAAGCTGGGGCTGACAGCAGAACTTCACGCCTCTCCCCAGAATCGAACATGCAACCTTTTGGTCAACAAGCTCAGCAGCTTAGCGCTTTAACCCACTGCGCCTGAATAGATTAGGTCAATTGCAAACAGTATGTAACCAAATGTATGCCAAGTTAAGTCCTTATATTCCCATTGAAAATGTATACCCAGTCAAAATTTTAAGAAAGAAAATGCTGTGTCCAACCCGGTTGCTTCCCACCAGAGTATCCCAGTCTTTTCTCATACGTCTTACTCACATTGTACAGCACTGTAGTCCATCCTTCCATGGTAATGCACTGGAAGACAGTCAACACAGCAAAGAGAATGTTGTCAAACTGAGTGATCCCATCGTTGGGACCAATCCAGTCTCTGCACTCGTAACCTGCAGGGCATCCTTGCACCCCACAAGGATGAGGTGGGTCCAGCTCTTGTAATTCACCTGCAGTCACACACAAATTAAACCAAATGGTACAGAAATGAATTTGTAAAAAATGGCAACCATACTTACCAAGACAATCACAGTGAAACAGGACCTTCCTATACCATGCCTTTTCAAAGGAAATGTTGAGATTCCTCAGATGGTTATCAACTGGTCTGAGATCAAGGGGAGGCATCATAAGGCAGCTGCTTAAGGCCCCAGGGAGGGGGGCCATCACCAACCCCTCTTTCTGTATCTGAATGGCAGAGGGAGAGGTTAAAGTAGGACCCATCCCTCCACCCTCTGACACATGTGCAACCATCTTTCTTAGATGGACAGGGGCAGTAAGAGCTGAAGACAGTTGCAACCATTGCCTGCTTCCTATCATCACATTTAGATTGAGGAACAGGATGGCTGAAAATTGTGTTTCATCTTGTTTTTCTCACAACAGAAAATTGATTTTTGAAACATGTTTTATCCTGGAATACTGTTTATTTTGCACTGTAAAGGAGGGTAAAATTACTGCCACCAAATTTGTGAGGAAAGCCAGGCAATGATCAATATCAGCTTAGGAGTTGGTTTATAAGGGACTATTAATTACAGAAATATTTATTTATTTGATAGCGTAGCGTTTAATGTCCCTGGTTTGGTTTTTCTACTTATGCAGGCTGTTTGACTTAGGAGAAACTGTATCAGGCAAGGCTTGAGGAAAACAGTAACAAGTTTATTGGAACAAGCAAGGTATAACAGATTCGATGTTTCTTCTCTAGAGGCACAAATCTTGATAGGTTACATTAGTAAGGTTTCATGAGTAACTTTAGGTACAGACTTTTAAGAGATTTCTTTGAGAAGATATATCTTTCTTCAACAAGCGTTCTTTTACTACAAATAAGCCACCTGACTTATCTAACTCTATTGGCTCACAGCCAAACCCTGATTCTTAATATTAAAGAACCAGTCTTCCCTATAGTTCTCTAACTATAGTATTCCTGATGGTTTTCCACACACCACAGGATCAACTACCTCTCCTGTAACTCTTTGGTCACAGACTAATTCCCCTGATTCTCCCACTAGAGAAATCAAGTCTTCCCTGTAGCTCGCCGGCTTACAGACTGCCACTTTCAAACAGCTGCCCTGTGAAAAGGCAGTTGGCAGTTGGCTCCGCCCCTGTTGCTATGGCAACTCATCCCAAGCCAAGCCTGCCACGATCTCTAACAAAACATAATCCTACATACTTACCATTTATTAACTACTGTTTAAACAACACATAACCATAAGAATAAAAGTTACACATCGTCACATGCACTTTAAAGTCAATGTTTTATATTTTGTTGATTTTTGCATGTATTTTCATTTGCATCATTTTAATATTTGTTCAAAGACAACGGGAGGGCTCTTTTTCCTGCAGAGTACCTAAGTAACCTATTTGTCCCAGAATATAGGAAGGCATTCTCTTTGGCTAAATTCAATGTGCTACCTTCTGCATTACTGAAGGGATGATATGACAAAGTAACATACTGTAAATACCTATGTTCCTGTGAGGCTGAGGTGGTAGAAACTGGGGAGAATGTTTATTGTAGCGCTCTTTTTACCAATAATAATAATAATCATCATCATCATCATCTGTGCTCCAGGCACAGTCAACCCATTGTATGCTAATCAAGGTGGTCAGTTGAAACATTCACACCTAGCTCCAGCAGACAAGAGACCTTTGTCTCACCCTGGTCATTCCATAGATATATAAACCCTTTTTCCTAGTTCCAACAGACCTCACTACCTCTGAGGATGCTTGCCATAGATGCAGGCGAAACGTCAGGAGAGGATGCCTCTAGACCATGGCCATACAGCCCAAAAAAACCTACAACAACCCTGTGTTGTATTTGTTTTATCTGATGTTTTAATTGGTTAAAATGTTTTACTTGTGTGTTTTAATTGTAATTCTGGACTTGTCCCTTGTAAGCTGGGGAGATGGTTGGCGGGGTATAAAATAAAGTTATTATTATTATTATTATTATTATTATTATTATTATTACTATTATTAGGTGGAATAGTAAAAACAAGCATGACATGAGGCCCCCAGACTGGCCACCCTTGTACATGCGGGTTGCAAGCTCTGTATTAAAATGAACAATGTGGAAATTGAGTAGTATAAGGGATGTATGTATGCTTCTGAAGTTGTGCATTTAAAATACTGGCTCTCATAGTAGTCACCCTCATTACAGGAATACAGAATCTTACAGCCACAGATGCCATCTGGTAGTAATTTGATTTTAACTACATTCTGGTTTTCACTGTGCAGCGCTGGTTCCAAGCAGTTGGGATTTTTCTTTTTCTATTCTCATCGCGAAACAATGACGTTAATGTTGACGCCCAAAGTATCAGTGCTGCCATGCAAACATCCACCCACTTCCACCCAACAAACACAAAAGAAAGCTAAACAAAAACCTTGCCTGCACAGGCTAGTTTCAATAAACCTCCCTAAGTGTGTATTTGCACACAGAGGTTTTTCAGGGTGATGTCAACAAAGTGTGAGGATATTTCTATGAAGATTTCAGCTGGATGAAAAGCTATCCTGCCTTATTGGTTTTTTAAAAATCATTTTTAAAGCTTTTAACTATGTATTTGTATCTCAGAACTCTGCTAGACTACCTGTGTTCTCAGTGATTCCCAAGCAAAGTCTGTATTGGATTGCTGCAAGCCTTCCTGGCTGTACGGCGATGTTCCAGAAGTATTCTCTTCTGATGTTTCGCCCACATCTATGGCAGGCATCCTCAGAGGTTGTGAAGTCTATCGGAAACTTGGAGCATGGCCATACAGCCTGAAAGGCTTGCAGCAACCCAGTGATTCTGGCCATGAAAGCTTTTGACAACACATAGGTCTCTATTGTTTTATCAAAGGCTTTCACGACCTGAATCACTGGGGCGTTGTGTAGTTTGTGGGTTGTATGGCTGTGTTATATAGCAGCATTTTCTCCTGATGTTTTGCCTCAATCTGTGGCTGGCATCTTCAGAGGATTTATTTGTTTATTTACGATATTTAAAGCCTGCCTTTCTCAGCCATACGGCAACTCAAGGCGGGTTACAGATTGACACAATTTGATGTCAGGCATTCATAAAAGTGCTATTAAAAACAATCAACATTACAATATAAAACATATATAAAAACGGTTAAAGCATATACTCAGCGGTGTCATCCTGTTAAAAACGTTATCCAGTAACATCATCTGGCTATTCCATGTTCATCATTTATAGATCTGTGTTATGTATTCCGCTGCATTCTCAAAAGCTTGCTCAAAGAGTCAGTTCTTTACTTTTTTCAGAAAGTCAGGAGGGAGGGGGGCGAGCTAATATCCCTGGGGAGGGAATTCCATAGCCGGGGGGGGGGGGGGGGGGCACCACTGAGAAGGCCCTTGTAAAGATGCCACTAGTTTATAATGGTTTGTAAAGGAGCCACCACTTTGTAAGGACTTACTCAAATGATAACACAACTAATGGCTTGTAATATTAAATTGGTCTTTCTTCAAGGTGTAGCGTGGCTTCACTTGAAAGTATTTGTAACAGAGACTTGGCTTTAGAAGAAACTGTAACAAGTTTATTGAAGTATAGTAGAAGCTTGATGGTTTCAATGTTTCTTAACTCTTGGAGGCACATATCTTCAGAGGTTACATTTATAACATTTCATAAAACAACTCTTAAGAGGACTATTCCTTCCACTAAACCGGTTTCAAACTTATTTTCCTTCAAAATGTGTTTCTATCTTTAACAGATTACTTCAGGCACAAGCTTATTCTTTCCTTATGTTATTTCTGTTGCAGTAAAGATTCTTATTAGGGTTCTCTCCCCCTTTTACTCATACACTAACTAATAATATAAATAAGTCAACTCGACCTATTTAAACTACACAGGCTAAAAGTCAAAACCTTCCTGATTCCCAACACAGTAGAATCAGCCTTTCCCTGTAGTTCTTAGAATACAGACTACTTTACTGGTTTTCAACACACAACAGAACCAGCCTTCCCTGTAGTTCACTGACTACAGACTAACTGTTTTAAAATGGCTGCCCTGCAAAGTGGCAGTTGGCTCCACCCCTTTTTCCATGGCAACCAAGCTCAAAGTGAGTTGAGCTGGCTACCATCCCCCAGTTATGCTAGTTTAAATACTTACCCTTTTAAACACCTATTTATTATTATACATAACTGTAGATTAAAACTCACACTTCACCACAGCCCTGTCCTTCATATTTGCCAATCACACTTGCGAGGCAGGTGGGATCGAGAACAAGGCCTCCCCAGACGATCTTAAGCTCATAGGAGGAGATACGTTCGGACAGGTAAGCTGGGCCGGAATTGTTTAGGCTTTATAGGCTAAAGCCAGCACTTTCAAATTGTGCTTGGTAGCAAATTGGCAGCCAGTGGAGCTGACGCAACAGAGGAGTAGTGTGCTTCCTGAGTGCTGCTCCTGTTAGTAACCTGGCTGCCACCCGTTGGACCATTTGATGTTTCCAAACAGACAACCCCACATAGAGCACGTTGCAGTAATCTATTCAGGATGTAACAAGAGTGTGGACCACCATGGCCAAGTCAGACTTCCCAAGGTACGGGCACAGCTGGCGCACAAGTTTTAACTGTGCAAATGCTCCCCTGGTCACCTCCAAAACTTGGGGTCCTCCAGAGATGCCAGTCACAGATGCATCAGGAGTGTTGGGGTTCAGCCTGAGTTTGAACTTGAACCTGATTCTCTGTTTGTTCCTCCTGATGCTAATGAAAATATATTTACTGATGCTAATGGAAATGTACCTTTTGATGCCAATGCTCCTGAAATTAGTGAGGAAGAAACTGCTGTAGGTTTGGAAAATGCCAATGTTCCTGAAATTAGTGAGGAAGGAACTTCTGTAGATTTGGAAAATGAAAGTACCAGTGTTCATGAGAATGTTTCAGAGGGAAGCCTTGACCTTTCCCTCCCTTCTGCACCTGTTAACTGTAATGACAACAGAAGGGGCCAAATTTGGAAAGACAGAAGTAAATCACTCAGTTTGCGTCGATCCTCCCAAATTCAAGAATTAAAAACATTGGCTTCAAAGAAGAAGGGCGGTTCACGGAACCAATTCTTGAGTTTTAATTGCAATACGCCGAGCTGATTGTCTCAGTTCAGGCATCGTTTCAGAATTGATGAAGACCTTGGCAGTTCTCCTGGTTCCCTGGCCATAGTTTGGGAAGATTTCTAGGATATCAAGTACGGTTAGTGGATTGCTAACAGGTTCCAGTATTTCACAGTGAGGCTTTTGGTTTTGCTTTGTCCATTTAAATTCATGTTTGCTGATTTTGCTGTGGCTTTTGACTTGCATTTTTCCTTTATTTTGTAACCATTTTTCTTCAATAAAAAAGGATTGTTTTTCACAGTCAAGTGTGGTGGATAGTTATCTTAGGGCCTCGTTCCCTGCTCTGGATTGCAACAAGGAGAAAATGCTGCTAGAACATAGCCATACAGCCTGGAAATCACACACCACCCTATGTCTGTATTAGCTGTGGCTACAGTAGAAGCAAAAGAATATGCACAATAGTCACATATATGGTTATACTATGTCTGCATTTAAAAAGCCAAGGGCAAGAATAAAGTCAGAAAAAGAATTGGGGATAGAGAGTATTCCTCACCTGAATTGTTCACATAACAAGCCCGGTGCAGCTTCCCACTATAGAATTCCAGGCCAATGATGGCAAACATCAGAATAGCGAAGAAGAGGAGCAGGCCAATCTGGAGGAGAGGCACCATGGCCTTCATGATGGATTTAAGTACAATCTGCAAACCTTGGATAAAAAGAAAAAGGTCATTATAACTAAACATGGTGACCATTGCCATATCAAGTAATCATAACGTTTTTTTTCTGCAACAGGGAAGGCATTGAAAGAGAAACTACACATACAATCTAAAAGAACAGAGAAAAGCAGTCACAAACATGTTACATGACAATTTGGTCCTGGAAGAAGTAATGAAGTACAGGAAGCAGTCATATACAACAAACAGAATAAGCAATCAACAAGCAAAAAGGGAGTGCCTGCTTGTCCCATGTTGTTGTTGTTCATTCATTCAGTCGTTTCCGACTCTTCGTGATTTCATGGACCAGCCCACGCCAGAGCTCCCTGTCGGCCATCACCACCCCCAGCTCCTTCAAGGTCAATCCAGTCACTTCAAGTATACCATCCATCCATCTCACCCTTGGTCGGCCCCTCTTCCTTTTTCCTTCCATTTTCCCCAGCATCATTGTCTTCCCTAAGCTTTCCTTTCTTCTCATGATGTGGCCAAAGAACTTCATCTTGGGCTCTACTATCCTTCCCTCCAATGAGCAGTCAGGCTTTATTTCTTGAAGTATGGACTGGTTGGATCTTCTTGTGGTCCAAGGCACTCTCAGAACTGTCCTCCAGCACCACAGTTCAAAAGCATTTATCTTCCTTCGCTCAGCCTTCCCTAAGGTCCAGCTCTCACATCCGTAGGTGACTACAGGGAATACCATTGCTTTAACTATGCGGATCTTTGTTGCCAGTGTGATGTCTCTACTCTTCACTATTTTATCAAGATTGGTATTCTGACTTGGTTAGACCGCACCTGGAATATTGTGTCCAATTCTGGGCACCACAATCAAAGAGAGATATTGACAAGCTGGAATGTGTCCAGAGGAGGACAACTAAAATGATCAAGGGTCTAGAGAACAATCCGTATGAGAAGCGGCTTAAAGAGCTGGGCATGTTTAGCCTGAAGAAGAGAAGGCTGAGGGGAGACCATGTATAAGTATGTGAGAGGAAGTCATAGGGAGAAGGGAGCAAGTTTGTTTTCTGCTGTCCTGGAGACTAGGACGCGGAGCAATGGCTTCAAACTACAAGAAAGGAGATTCCATCTGAACATGAGGAAGAACTTCCTGACTGCAAGAGCCGTTCAGCAGTGGAACTCTCTGCCCTGGAGTGTGGTGGAGGCTCCTTCTTTGGAAGCTTTTAAACAGTGCTGGATGGCCATCTGTCGGGGTGCTTTGAATGCGATTTTCCTGCTTCTTGGCAGAAAGGGGTTGGACTGGAGTTCTCTTCCAACTCTATGATTGGAAGCATTTATTTTTTAAACTTTAAATTATCACATTTGGCCCGGCCATAGGTTTTAAATCCTTGTGTGTTATTGTTTACATGTTATATTAATTGTATTGTATTGTCGAAGACTTTCATGGCCGGAATCACTGGGTTGTTGTAGGTTTTCTGGGCTATATGGCCATGTTCGAGGCATTTTCTCCTGACGTTTCGCCTGCATCTGTGGCAAGCATCCTCAGAGGTAGTGAGGTCTGTTGGAACTAGGAAATAGGGTTTATATATCTGTGGAATGACCAGGGTGGGACAAATGACTCTTGTCTGCTGGAGCTAGGTGTGAATGTTTCAACTGACCACCTTGATTAGCATTTAATGGTTTGGAAGTGCCTGGGGGAATCTTTCTTTGAGAGGTGATTTGATGTGCCTGATTGTTTACTCTCTGATGTTTTGCTGCTGTAATTTTTACAACGGCTACGAGTATTAAAAAACTCAAAAATAACAACAGCAAAACAACAGAGAGTAAACAATCAGGCACATCAAATCACCTCTCAAAGAAAGATTCCCCCAGGCACTTCCAAGCCATTAAATGCTAATCAAGGTGGTCAGTTGAAACATTCACACCTAGCTCCAGCAGACAAGAGTCCTTTGTCCCACCCTGGTCATTCCACAGATATATAAAGCCATTGTCCCACTTCCAACAGACCTCACTACCTCTGAGGATGCTTCCCATAGATGCAGGCGAAACCTCTAGACCATGACCATACAGCCCAAAAAAACCTACAACAACCCTGTGTTGTATTTGTTTTGTCTGATGTTTTAATTGGTTAAAGTGTTTTACTTGTGTGTTTTAATTGTAATTCTGGACTTGTCCCTTGTAAGCCCGGGAGATGGTTGGCGGGGTATAAAAATAAAGTTATTATTATTATTAATAATAATAATAATAATAATAATAATAATAATAATAATAGGTGGAATAGTAAAAACAAGCATGACATGAGGCCCCCAGACTGGCCACCCTTGTGCATGCAGGTTGCAAGCTCTGTATTAAAATGAACAATGTGGAAATTGAGTAGTGTAAGGAATGGATGCTTCTGAATTGAGTAGTGTAAGGGATGTATGCTTCTTTGGATGCTCTTAATACTGGCTCCCATAGTAGTCACCCTCATTACAGACCTCACTACCTCTGAGGATGCTTGCCATAGATGCAGGTGAAACGTCAGGAGAAAATACCTCTAGAACATGGCCATATAGCCCAGAAAACCTACAACCACCCATTAATGTTTTGTTGCTGTGTTGTCAGGCTTGGCCTCATGTAAGCCGCTCCGAGTCCCTTGGGGAGATGGTGGCGGGGTATATATAGAGTTTTATTATTTATTACTATATGATTCTATGATTCTATGGATGCATATGATAAAACACCAGTATTGCTCTGCAAAAAATCAGGAAGAGGAAAACAGGAGGCAAAGATGCTTACTAGGAATGCCCGAGACAAGCTTCAAGGGTCTGAGAACCCTCACTGCCCGCAGAGTCCGGAGGTCCACATGGGTGTTGAAATGCGTCCCTGCTGTGGCAAGAATTCTGGAGATAAACAAGAAAAAGAGAAAAGTTACTAAAGATAGATTTGGGGCAAAGCGCATATGCCTCCCTCCCTGCCTGTAGGAGGGGGCGTTCCGCACACCAGGCACCTGACAGCCAGAATTGGTGCACCTTACCCTCCACTGTGACTCAACAGCCATTTCTCTGTCTAAACTTAGCATCTGTTAGCTGTGCAGCAATTAAAATATACACACTGGTGGTGGGACTCACATTTTTCAAACTCCATCTGATCCTTTCACACCAGAAGCGACAAGCTCAACCTAGTGCTTCAGTACAAAACACCTGGGGCACATTTGCACTATACAATGAACGCATTTTGATTCCACTTTAATTGCCATGGCTACAGCATCCTGGGATATGCATTTTGGGGAAACTGAACTTTCTGATAGAGAATTCTGAATATCTTCTGAATCTATAAATTCCATGGCAGCCTTGACAGTTGAACTAGAATTGAAGTCCCTGGAAGCTTGATATCTAGGGCATAGTAACAAAATAATAAAATAAAACTTTATTTATATACCGCTCTATCTCCCCGGGGGGACTCAGAGCGGTTTCCAAGTAACATCAACAATACCTAAAGAGTAAACAACATAGCCATAAGATTAACAAAACAATATAAGCATAAAAATTGTCGCCATAACACACATATATATAAATGCTCTGTGCATAATGAGTATCTTAAAACAAAAGAACCAATGAATGAAATTGCACCAAATTTGGTAACAAAACATCTCACAACACAAGGAGTGACCATCACTCAAAAATTATGATTTTGTCATTTGGGAGTTGTAGTTGCTGGGATTTATGGTTCACCTACAATCAAAGAGTATTCTGAACTCCATCAACGATGGAATTGAACCAAACTTGGCACACAGAACTCCCATGACCAACAGAAAATACTGGAAGGGTTTGGTGGGCATTGACCTTGAGTTTGGGAGTTGTAGTTCACCTACATCCAGAGAGCACTGTGGGCTCAAACAATTTTGGATCTGGACCAAACTTGGCACAAGCACTCAATACGCCCAAATATGAACACAGATGGCGTTTGGAGGAAATAGGCCTTGACATTTGGGAGTTGTAGTTACTGGGATTTATAGTTCACCTACAATCAAAGAGCATTCTGAACTCCACAAACAGAGGTGGCCCTAGGTAATTTTCAACAGTAAGCAAACTGTATTTGCCCCCTCCCCCCATCTATCTATCTAAAAATGCTCTGTGCATAATGAGTACCTTAAAAACAAAAGAACCAATGAACGGAATCACACCAAATTTGGCAACAAAATGTCTCCCAACACAAGAAGTGGCCATCACTCAAAAATTATGATTTTGTCATTTGGGAGTTGTCGTTGCTGGGATTTATAGATCACCTACAATCAAAGAGCATTTTGAACTCCATCAACGATGGAATTGAACCAAACTTGGCACACAGAACTCCCATGACCAACAGAAAATACTGGAAGGGTTTGGTGGGCACTGACCTTGAGTTTGGGAGTTGTAGTTCACCTACATTCAGAGAGCACTGTGGACTCAAACAATGATGGATCTGGACCAAACTTGGCACAAGCACTCAATACGCCCAAATATCAACACAGATGGAGTTTGGGGGGAAATAGGCCTTGACATTTGGGAGTTGTAGTCACTAGGATTCACAGTTCACCTACAATCAAAGAGCATTCTGAACCCCACCAATGACAGAATCGGGGCAAATTTCCCACGCTGAAACCCATCACCAACAGAAAATACTTAAGGACATCCAATCCAACTCTCTTTGCCAGGGCAAGAAAATCTAATCAAAGCCCTCCTGACAAAGAGCCATCCAGCCATAGAGATAGATAGATAGGGAGTTGTAGCTGCTGGGATTTATAGTTTACCTACAATCAAATAGCATGATAGAATCGAACCAACTGGGGCATACAGGACTCCCATGACCAACAGAAAGCACTAGAAGGGTTTGGTGAGCATTGACCTTGAGTTTGGGAGTTGTAGTTCACCTACATCCAGAGACTACCATGGACTCAAATAATGATGGATCTGGACCAAACTTGGCACCAATATTCCATATGCCCAAATATGAACACAGATGGAGTTTGGGAGAAATAGACTTGACATTTGGGAGTTGTAGTTACTGGGATTTATAGTTCACCTACAATCAAAGAGCATTCTGAACCCCACAAATGACAGAATTGGGGCAAATTTCCCACGCTGAACCCCATCACCAACAGAAAATACTTAAGGACATCCAGACCAACTCTCTTCACTAGGGCAAGAAAATCTAATCAAAGCCCACCTGATAAAGAGCCATCCAGCCATAGATATAGATAGATTGATTCACACACACACATAGATATAGTATCCTAGATTTGAAAGGGACCCCTAAAGAACGACAATGATATATTGCATATTCCAGAGTAGGCAGACCAGACAATCTCCACATTAACACTGACAAAGAGACAACAAGAAATACTGTTTACCCACAAGCATAAAGAAATTACATAGATTAGAAACCATTACTTTATTTTCCAGATCAACAAACTGGGCCACAGCAACGCGTGGCAGGGGACGGCTAGTAACAAAAAAAACTTTATTTATATATCGCTCTATCTCCCCGGGGGGACTCAGAGCGGTTTCCAATTAACATCAACAATACATACTGTCGCAACTCAGGATAGATTCACCTTGCTCAAGACACCACCACACACCAAGGCTGTAGGTTTTGTGGTTTATTGAAGAAAAAGAAAAATCAAAAACATAGAAATATAGTTGCAAAAGTTCAATAGCCAAAACAGAGTCTTAAATGCAAAGGCAAAGTTTCCAAGATCCAAAGTATCATAGAATCAAAGAGTTGGAAGAGACCTCATGGGCCATCCAGTCCAACCCCCTGCCAAGAAGCAGGAATATTGCATTCAAATCACCCCTGACAGATGGCCATCCAGCCTCTATAATCCTTTAACATGAAGTATAATCATTTAGCATTGGTTAAACAAGAGTCCATGGCAGCATGACAAGGTCCCCAAAAACCAAGATCAAAACCAAAGTCCCAAAGAGCTAAAAGCTTTCCCCAAAAGCCGAGGTAATTACAAAGAAGTTAACAGGGTGTAAGCAACATTACACTGACAAAGGATTGACTTCAATCAGATCGTTAAATATGTTTGCCAGGCATGAAAGCATTACGTTGACCTCAAACTTAAATAAAGTGTTGTTGTTGTTGTTGTTATTATTATTATTATTTAGGAATTTCAGGGTAATTCCATTTTGACACAATAAATGTGTGCAGTAGCCATGCTTTTTTATTTCCTTTTCAATATTTCACTCAAAGAAGGATTGTCAAATTTGTCTCTTACGATTCATATAAAATACAAAGTAAAAATCCTATATTTTCTCTACAACAAACATTTTTCCATTATGCATTGCATTTGCTTTTCATTTCAGGTCAACAGAAAAGTTTGTACAAGAAAAGAAGGTGGATTATTAGATAAATCTTCAAATGTTATTGATCGAGGGAATCATATAAAACATACAAAGCAAAAGAAATTAAGCTTCTAAAATTGACAGGTGAGAAACTAGATAAAACAAGAAACTAATAAAGTAAAAGTAGACTCGATAAAGGTCACCTCTCACTGTTTTTGTGCTTCAAGTGGGGGCTCGTATGATGGAATTCATCACAACAGGCAGAAAAAAATGGAACAGAGAAAAGTGGCCAGAATATGATTCAGCTAACTGGACATCCCCTTTAAAATATGGGCTAAAACCTGCCATTGCTTCCTTCTCAACAATATTGGCTCATTGAGGACTTCTGGAGCTGCATGAGACCCAGTGTGCCACTATTATGATTGATATTAGGATCCCCCAGTGGCGCAGTGGGTTAAACCCCTGTGCCGGCAGGACTGAAGACCGACAGGTCGCAGGTTCAAATCTGGGGAGAGGTGGATGAGCTCCCTTTATCAGCTCCAGCTCCTCATATGGGGACATGAGAGAAGCCTCCCACAAGGATGATAAAAACATCAAATCATCCGGACATCTCCTGGGCAACATCCTTGCAGACGGCCAATTCTCTCACACTAGACGCGACTTGCAGTTTCTCAAGTCGCTCCTGACACGACAAAAAAAATAATGACTGATATTGTTAATTTTTTTATTGATAAATATTTATCCCCCCCAAAAAATAATGAAATGTTACATTTAAATCACTAAGTCAGTGGTTCCCAACCTTTCTAAAGCTGTGACCCCTAAATACAGTTGCTCATGTTATGGTGACCCCCAACCATAAAATTATTTTCATTGCTACTTTGTAACAGTAATTTTGCTACTGCTATGAATCATAATGTAAATATCTGATATGCAAGATGAAATTTTATTGTTACAAATTGAACATAATTAAAGCATAGTGATTAATCACAAAAACAATATGTTTGGACAATGGATGATGGGATTTGCAGTACTTTTGACAGATTCAGCTCTGACGTCCAGAGACCACTGAGATGCCCACAAATTACAGAACTGGACCAGACTTGGCACAGAGAACCCACATGACCAACAGAAAATATTGGAGGGGTTTGGGAGGAATTGACAGTGATTTTGGAGAGATGTACTTCACCGACATCTGGACCAAACTTGGCACGAATACTCAATATGCCTAAATTTGAACACTGGCAGAGTTTAGGGAAAGGTGGAGGAGGAGGAAGAGCACAGAGGAAAAGGATAATAATAATAATAATAATAATAATAATAATAATAATAATAAACTTTATTTGTACTCCACTCCATCTCCCCGATGGGGACTCGGTGCGGCTTACATGAGGCCAAGCCCAAAACAACAATTACATGAAATAAAACAAAACCGAAAATGCAAATAATAAACAATAACACAATTACATAAAACAAAAGACAACATAGCAATATGAAATTACAATAAACACAATAAACACAATCACGGTAACATGGGCGAGCTACATGTAATGGATAAAGGAAAGTTGGGTAGAAAC